TGCCAGAAGGGTAAGCTTGGCAATCAGCAGTTGTCTGTTGACCTTAATCATATACCTGTGACCCACACACACCAGCATGACCTGAGTAGCAAATGACCTTCTTCACAAAAGAGTTTGTACTGCTCTAAAAAACTGCACATTTCTTCTCCTGTACAATTTCTGACTCATTTTAACAGGGACCATAGGAGGAAAATGGTAAGGTATAGCATTCCAGTTGGTATCTTTATCATCTAGAACAGTATTAAACCCTAGGATTTCCTATGATCAGCTAATGTGACACTCTCGTCTTCTCTATTCTAGTTGCTGTCAAATGATTTAAAATATGTTTGTTGATATGTTGTAATATTCCCTTTGTTTTTTTCCAGGGCAGATGGCCTCTCTAGTCATATTACTACCCTTTCTGACATGCAGGCCTCTCAGGGTAAATTTATTGACAGTTCTTCAAGTCTTTAGGCCACATTAGCATTAAACAGGATAATTTCTATTCTTACACATTCTTTTGGAAATACACTTAAGGCAAGTGAATAAGTTATGTAGGTTTCTTACTGTGCCACTCTATCTGCTACGAATTATTAAAGAAATGAAAGATCAATGTCAAATTAATGTTGCACCTACCATTCATAAGTAGCTTCATGGAAAAGTCATGAACAAGAAGTTCATGGCTGTGTTGATGGGTAATTAACTGTTTGTAGTGTAGAATATCATTGCCATGAACTCCATTAATGAGAAATCCATGACAGGGCTTCTGCACAACACTGAATACCAAATGGTCCTGAGGCATATCTAGATCAACTGCACTGATAACAGAGAGATCCAGCTCTTTCACCTCACCCTCCGGAACCTAAACACAAACAAAACAGAATTAAAAAAAATCAAATTGTTCTGCATAAATAAATATTGTAACATTTTAGCTAAGTAGGCTATTTTTTTCCTAAGTAGTCTGTTTTTCTGGGTTTGTCTACCTCTTTGCTTTTTCTACCCCCTCCCCAGTAGCTTTTGAAAAAGATCCTGATTTCAATCAAGTTTAGGGGTTATATAGTAGTAAGTGGTTGCAGTGATGAAAACAGAAGATGAGATAAGAGTTTTCATATGTGCCTCAATTAGCAGAAAAGCTTTTAGACAAGCAAACGTCATAAAAGGTGTTAGAGAATGCAGATGGGAAAGTCTTTTAAATACACACATACATATATATGTGTATGTGTATATGCATATATCTCTGTGCATGAATTTATACACATATGCACATTTTTATAGGGTCTTTACAATTACATAATCTCATGTATCTTTAACATGATGGTCACAAAGTCAATACTCCTCTTAAAGGTAGTGTCATCAGAGAGAGGAAGCAGCAATAAAAATGACTCCCCTCCAAAAAAATCCCAAAGGCTCTTGTGAAAGCAGAAGAATAAAGATCCTCCTCCTCTGTAGGTTTTTTGTTTGTTTAAAAGTTTCAACTCTTTTTTAGTTAATTGAAAATTAGCAGGCAGAGCTATGCACTGCTTCATTATCACTGAAGATCTCTTTTATAGGTTAACAGTGATTTAAATAGACCCTTTCCTGAACTACACAGACTGCACAAAGTAAGGGTAAGATGCAAAAGAACAGATGTAAGGGCAATGCTCCAATTTATCCTAAAGAGTTTTTCTGGCATGAGATGATTCTATGACAACCCTTTTATTTCTTTCCTTACAGAAATGTTCCTTGCTATGAATTCTGGAATTTCATCATTGGTTGGGTTGATCAGCACGAAGAATGGAGTCTCTGCTGAGTGATGCAGCCCATCAGTGACATAAAGCACAAACTGGTCTGATGTTGGCTCAATCCGCATGTGCCTAGACTGTACATAGTTTATATTCAGGGCTTTCAGATGTTTCAGCTGAAAAGATGCTGGAGGTTTTAAAGAAAAAATACATCACATTAGCACAATTTATTTTCTGCCCTCTGGTCTTGCATAGTATAAGGTACCTGGAACTGTGTTTTTCTTCAAAGAACCAAGAGCTTGGATTTTATAGGTTATCATCAGACATGTTTTCCGCTGCCTTGTTGGGCTTTGCACCAAATGGCACAGAAAGATCCTCCCAACTTGCAATGTGCAAGTCCCAGCAAAAAGGTGAAGCCAGGGTCCCAATTCCCATGGTGCTGAGTTGGGAGGATGATGGATAGGAGAGGTAGCGCTCAGTCTCCTCTGCTGCCACACGCAAGTCAGTTCTGCAGGTGGCTGGTCCAGGCGAGGAAGGCACTCTCCAGGCTCCAGGTTCCCTCTGCATGGGCTTCTGCAAGGTGGCACTCCCTTTGACTCAAATAAAAAGACATCCTCTTGCTCCGTCTAGGGCAATGCAACTTTATGCAGTCTGTAGAACTAAACAGGAAGACCCACAGAGTAGGTAGGAAAAATAACATTGGCTGTCATTTGATTGACAACCTATGAGACTGGGAGCCAAAAGAAGCTCACTAAGAAATGTGTCTGTCCAGACTAACACACATTTCTCAAAAAAAAAAAAAGAAAAAAAAAGAAAAAAAAAACATTCAAAGGAGATCAGTGATTCTGGGTGCTGAGCTGGGGGTACTGGTAAGATCTGACAGGGTGACAGAACATGCCATAGCCCATTCTGCTGAAACGCTGATGAAACTCTCCTGTGATGCCTTAAGGTGGGTATGGGACCAGGTTAACAACCATCTTCCTCTCTCCTATCATCTCACTTTGGACCCTAACATGGGATCCATACCTTTCAAATTCTCAGCTTACTAGTATTTTATTGACAGAAATATAAGCACAGCATAAGGTTGGGGGCACCCACCCAGGAGAATGAAGGGGAGGCAGACAAGTAGGTTAATGTCCCATATTGTCATTTCTTACAAATTGCAACTGGAATATACAAAGCAAAAATAAGCTTGTTTACTCCAAGTGCCAACCATCCGCATTTTCAGAGCTGCAGTCTCCCTTTGAATCCTCTTGCACAGTCCCATCACCCTCATTTGCAACACCTGCTTTCCTCAATTAGCCCTCATAAATGCTTGCACCTGCAGCTACTTCAGCACAGCCCAACACACTGCTCTCCCCCAACCCCCTGTATTTCACCCACAGGCTTACCATTTGTCATTAGGACTTACCTATACTTATACCAATGTTGCTCTTCTCAAACCCAGGAGAAGGCAGTATATTTTCAATGTAACCAAACTGGGGAGGAGAAACCAAGACAAACTCTAAGTCATCTGCAGCGGTATCAGGGTCAGTGGCAAACAAATGCTTAGCAGTAAGGGCTGCTGAGGAGCCCTCCTCCACCACAAACCTTGCACCTGCACACAAACAATGTGATAAGCATTACTGCTTATTTAGCTCAGCTTACTCTGCTATTTGCTAAAAAGAATTGAAGCAATAACTGAAGGGGGAAAAACATGGATATCAGCTCTACTTCCCATTGTGTAAGTAGAAAGGAAGGTGATCAGAAAATGTCACAAGTATGGTTTATGTATTGCTCAAAATCAGCTGTTATCTCTGCTTGTCAGGGCATTAATTGCATGAAAGCTATTACGAATTGCTCATAATGAACAATTTTTCATGCATCAGTGTTTTATTTCCCTGCTGGGACAATGCTTCATTTCCAGAACATTGCTTGGGTGATAGCCTGCAAATTACAAAACTATTCATACATACGTTTGAATGTTCTCTGAGATACCTAACATACATTTGATGCCTACATCAAAATTACCTTGAAAAGTATGCCTTTATTAAGTATGCTATGGAACACCTTCAGAGCCAAGTAAATCAGTGAAAATTTCACACAAAATCCTGTTGTTGAACTATATGTACGTTATCCAACTATTTCTTTTTTAATTGAGTATTTTTGATCCTGAAGAATACAACTAAAAATGTGGGTTCATATTTAATTAATTTGATTAGTTACATGTAGGTACTATAAACATTCCCTCCCTTGATGAAATAAGACAATAAGGCCAGAACGGAAATTTCTGTTTTATATCTAACATGCAGAGTTAGACCTACATATATGGTTATGTTTTTGTACTGTATAAACTGTATAAACCTGAGAGCTGTCTGGACCCAAGTTCACACTTTTTGGTTGACATATAGTTTCATTTTACTCGGACAAAGTTGATGTGTGCTGCAACATATATGTGTAGATGCAATGCAACAGATGTAAGCACCCTTCTCCGTAGCTACACATTTTCATGAAGTTGAAAAGACACAAACAGTTGTTCATAATTAGCACATTAATTTGGTCATCACAGTACACTAGAAAAATAAAAGTTATTTGATGGATATTCTGATTTAAAATATTTGTGTGCTGAACTTCTCAGTTGACTCTTTCTGGCACTAAAAAAGTTTGAGCCTTTAGCCATTACTGCAAATCACTCGTTATGATAACATGATACAGTGAGAAGAAGCTCTCACCAGTTGTGATGGATGGAGCCTGGTTGTCCACTGGAAGTACAGTAATGTTAAGTTCAAATATTGTCAATGGATTATGAAGTGGAACTGGTGGAGGGAGAGGTCTGTCATAACAGCAGTTATTCACATCTGAGCCAGCTTCATCATCAGAGACAACAAAGGCTAAGATCTCAAAGGAAGGAGTCAGGCCAATCTCCCCACCTGGAAAACATGTTGAGAAGTAATGTCTTGCTGTAGGAAGCCAAAACTTCATGAAGAAAAATCTTACATGGTGCAAGGACAGACTGCAGTATTTGAATTCAGAAGACAAAGACAGACCGAAATAGCAGCAAAACAGACCAACGAAATGAGTAGAATACTTCTAGTCAGGGCTGTTGCTTGGTTTGGGGTTGTTCATTTTGTTTTTATTTTTTTAATTAACTGTAACCAGCTTTCTAGAATGTTATTCTAGAGTAAAAGGATGTAGAAAAGCTTATAACTAAGACATATTATTATAATATGCTATTTCAATAGTAATAAAATTACTTGTAGTCCTCATAGTTTTATTCTGTGTGTAATTAGGAATCTTCGGACCATTTTTATGTCCAGGAAAGGAGGGTGTTACATCACTCCTTTGCTAAGAATGCAGGAGGGGATCTTTCTTTCTACTGATGTTCTCTCTATGACAAGTCATAATACCCTTGTTCTTCCAGAAAATGTAGCATAACAAAAACGTAGCATAGCAAAAAGTGCATATATTCCTCTGCATATATGTGCATATATGTCTCTGATCCCTAGAGTATGGACAATAACAGGGGTTGTACTTTGTTTCCATGTTGTGCAACAGGGATAATACAGGACTGGGAATTGCCACCCATTGCAAAACACACCTTTTAGTAAGTGCATTCTAGTCTTCAGAAGTCCTGGAAGTCTATGCCAATATGCTGCTTATGAAGGACAGTAGTGACTCCCTGCCCCCCTCACAACATCTCCTGGTGGCTCATTTAACGTGTGGAAATCTGGGAATGACAAAGCGCATCCTTGGCAGTGCACCCTTGAAGAATATCCTCTGCCTTTTACTGCTCTGCAAAACACTGTCATTAAATAATGTTCCTAATATGCTTAGGATGCTGAAGAAATTTTGCTATGAGTGGCCATAATCAAGTACTTCCTTCTCCTCTCAAATACCAGCTTGTATTCTGCCCTTATTTCACTTACTTGTGTGCTTGTATGTGACCAAACCAGAGACAACATCAGCTTGGGAAAAACGCCTCACAGCGACGCCTGCTTTCCTCACTACCCCATGCTTGGGCTGGCGAACCAGTGTAAACACTAACTTCATGTCATCACTGTCTGCGTCTGTTGCACAAATGTACTCTGAGGAAAGGACCACTTCTTCACTCTCCAGGCAGTGTACAACAGGAACAAGGCCTGTTCGCATAACAGGCAGCTCATCGTTCACAGGCAGCACCTAATAAAGTGATAATAAAAGAATAAAGATTTTTAAATTTAATAAAAACTGTTGTTTTAAACATATTGGTTTCCAGCCCAAGCCAGCAGCGCAGTGTCAGGGTTTTAATACACTGAATAATGAATACATTGATAATGACCAAAATGAACCCAGCTGAGTTAGGGTCACTGTAAAAACTCAAAAACAAAAGTAAACCAAACTAAGTAGACTGTGAAAAGAAAATGGAAGGCTTAAGGGAGAATGGAAGGCAGACCTTTAGCTCCTAAATGATGAGGATGAAAAGTTTGCTTAGAAGAGTTCACTGCACAGCTTTAACTTGACTGCATCTCTTTGACAGTGGAATTTACAGCTTGAGGAAGAAGAGGTTTTCCCTTCACTCTCCATGTTTAACTGCAGTGACATTAACTCCAGATAGAAAAGCCCAAGCTAGAGCAAGCACAGACACTTTTTAGTGAATGCAAGCCAAATCTGCTCTCAAATTTGCTTGAGGAAGAAGAGGTTTTCCCTTCACTCTCCATGTTTAACTGCAGTGACATTAACTCCAGATAGAAGAGCCCAAGCTAGAGCAAGCACAGACACTTTTTAGTGAATGCAAGCCAAATCTGCTCTCAAATTTGCCACATAAACCCAACAGTTACATGAAAAAAATAGCCTAACTAATCCATTATCTTCCAGTTTACAAGACAGAAGATGTGCTTTGCTCTTTTGCTCAAGCAAATGCTCTCCAAAGCGTGCAACACACTCACCTTGACCTGCAGTATGAACTCTACTGACTGAATGTTGTCAGTGGCCACAAAGAGGATACCATCAGTAAGTGTCTCAGAACCATCATGCCTGTACCTGCAGCGATAAAGAGTTAGTTATTTCACAGAAGGAAGTGCTTTTTTGTCCTGCCAGAGCTCATGGATCCTCCCAAAACAGAATGCCAATCTACATATTGGAGCTCATTGGACTTAGGGTTGTTGTAAGAGTGTGTACAGGACTTGTGAGGGCTCTCATGTGAGAAAAGCCTTTAGCAAAAAAAGGACTTCATCTGGGAAATAAGTTTATCTGCATTTTTTTCATCTGTGTTCTGGTTGTTTATGAGGTGTCTACTATTACATACTTTCTGCCTGCAGTAAATATCTTCTTTGTATAACAAATAGAAACCAAGCCAGGGAAGTCTAATTCTCCCTGCATATAAGAGTCAACAACATCCTCCTTTCTCCACAAATACAGCAGCAAAATCACAGAATCACAGAATGGTTGAGGTTGGAAGGGACCTCTAGAGATCATCTAGTCCAACCCCCTGCTCCAGCAGGGACACCCAGAGCACGTGGGACAGGGTGGCATCCAGGCGAGTTTGGAAGATCTCCAGAGAAGGAGACTCCACAGCCTCTCTGGGCAGCCCCTTCCAGGGCTCTGGCACCCTCACAGGAAACATGTTCTTCCTCACATGGAGGTGGAACTTCCTGTGTTTCAACTTACACCCGTCACCTTTTGTCCTGTTAACTGATCACCACAGAGAGGAGTTTGGGCCCATCCTCCCTACAGTCACCCCTCAGGTACTTGAACATGTTGATCAAATCTCGTCTCAGTCTTCTCTTCTCCAGGCTAAACAGGCCCAGCTCGCTTAGTCTTTCCTCATAAGACAGATGCTCCAGTCCCTTAACCATCTTCATGGCTCTACACTGGACCCTTTATAGAAGCTCCACATCCCTCTTGTCCTGAAGAGCCCAGAACTGCCCCCAATACTCCAGGTGCGGCCCCACTAGAGCTGAGCAGAGGGGCAGGATCCCCTCCCTCCACCTGCTGGCAACGCTCCTCCTCATGCAGGCCAGGATCCCATTGGCCTTCTCAGCCACCAGGGCACATTGCTGCCTCATGGTTAACTTGTTGTCAACCAGGACTCCCAAATCCATCTCTGCAGAGCTGTTTTCCAGCAGGTCAACCCCTAATTTGTCCGGGTGTCTGGGGTATTCCTCCCCAGGGACAGGATCCTGCACTTGTTCTTGTTGAACCTCATAAGGTTCTTCTCTGCTCAACTCTCTATCCTGTTTAGGTCTCTCTGAATGGCAGCACAAAATTTAGCAAAAATTTCATCCTTTGGTTAATCAGTGATTGGTATAACTTTTTTTGCAGTCTAGATAAAGTTAATGAACAAAAAAAAACTTCTTTAAAATAAAAACTGAAAACTATTGTTCTTCACATTCTCTGCAAATGACTGCAGACAGAATTTGCCCCCTCACCTGTGTAAGACATTGCTTTAGGCAGAAGCCTCATCTCTATATATCAGACAGATATTGTCCCTAGCTCCTTGTCTAGCCAAACAACAGCTTGGTTTCTTCTACAGAGATGCAATATTGGCCTGAAGTAGCCCTCACAGAGCTGTGGGGAGATGAGCCCCACATGATTACCATGGGACTCAGTCACTGCAGCAGGAAAGGCCAGACACTTCTCTAACCTGAGTGCCATGGTGCGCAGGTCCCTGCAGGAAAACCTGTCACCTTCCTTCACGGGAACGCCGTCCAGCTCCACTGCACCGTGCTGCGGCTCTCTCTGCAGGATGAGCAGGAGCTGCTCCTGTCTTGTGTCCGCGTCTGAGAGGCGAATGTGGCTCTCCGTGATTGGGCTCAGGCCGCCTTCGTCCACTCTCACATGGCTCGTGAACACCTGCCCGGAGGAGAAACGCTGTTTTCCACTGCGCCTCCAAACATGCACTGTACGGGATGATATCGATGTGCTCTAGAGTTAGGACATGTGACAGCTTGAAAGTCAAAATTACAAGGGCTACGTGCACCTCTGTCATGTGTTGGGAGGAGCTCAGGCATCTACTAATAGTAGCCCCTAATATATAGGTACTAATGCGATTCAGGGATGCTCCAGGCCTTCAGAAATACCTAGAGTATAGGCAACAACAACAACAGCAACAAAAAGGAGATTAAGGAGCCTCTCAGTTTACTCAGTACAAAAAAGTAATCTTGCACATTCACCAGAATCTTTCTTCTACTTCAGTCCAGCTGAAGCCTCCATGCAAGACACTGATACCTGATACCAGGGAAGATTTATTTTTCACTTTGGTTGGATCAGGGTATCTCCTAGCATTTCCACCCTTATTTAAATTCTACTCACAGAATTTCTGGGTCCTTCACTCTCACCTTCACCATCATCCTACCTCTGGTGCTTGGTTGTCCACCGGAAGAATCGTAATATTGAAGCAGATCCCATACAGAGTGCCCCCATGCTGATTACTGACAGAAAATATAAACTGAACTTGCTGAGGTTCAGGCCCAATGTCCTGCAGTGGGGGCATGTAGGCAACTTTCATATAATTCACAGCATGCTGCCAAAAGAGGAGGAAGAGGAATGCGTGTAAAAAGATAATATCAGAACAGCCATAATTCAGGACATTACAGACCTTTTTGAGCTGCTACTTAAAAGTTGTCTGAACTATTAAAATAAACCCCCAAAATTTCGCATCTGCTCTTCAGTTACATATAATATGTTGAGTAATTGATTGCATCTTTAGCTACCAATCAGATAAGTACAGGTGCAAATACCTAACCACATGGAAACAAAAAATACAAGCACAACTTATAAATGACAATAGGTAGTGGCCTTACCTCTGGAAATGAGCATTTTAAGAATGTTGCTCCCACACCTTTTTAAATCTGTGACTTTAAAATAAGGATTTTGTCCCAGAATATCTTTAATATAACATGATACAATAATATAACAACTAAATTCTATAGTAATAAAATAATTTTATAGAAATGAAATTTACTTTTGTCTCCTGAGGTAGAGGCAGGGGGGGACAACTAAGACCATCAGCAAATCTTTCTTTCCATCTACACACCCTTAACTGCAGGCATGCAGTTAAAGACTGATGAGCTCAAAGCCTCATAGATCTCATTACAATATTGCGAGTATGACCATTATGAGACCTTAATCACACAGAAGAATATAAAACAAGGTACTTGACTAGTATTCGTAATAAAGACATCTGTCAAACTACACAGGCATAAAAATCAAGCAACAAAATACTGAAAATGAACACATAAGTTAGTTCCAGATGATTGCAACTATCCCCAGAGGTGCTAAGAAGAAACATGAAGCTGACAGGGATCTAGAAAACAGTCTTATTTTCACAATTTGTGCCTTTTTTCCTAATATTATGCTGGATCCAAATCAGCCTACCATGAGCAAGTGCAGCCCCTGCTGGTTTCAGAAGGAAAGGTAAATTTATGTATTTCAGAACTGGAATGATGAAAATTAAAATTAAAGAACGGAATTGAATTAGCAAAGTTTTGAGCTTCTTAAGCAAAGCTCCACATCTCACTTGATGCCTCTTGTTCTCTGTCTCGAGCCAGATGGCCTCCTGTAACTGCTTTTAAAAGCACTTGACGCTAGCTATGGGGTCATGTAAGGTAACTAACCTGAGTAAATGATCTCAGCGCAAGAGCAGCAGGATCCTTGACCAGTTTTGGGATGGTGTCCACCATAAACAGCTTCCCAGCATCTGATTGGCTGTACAGAACCACACATATTACATCCTGGTTAGCAATACTTATGAATTGGAAGAACAGTAGTCATACAGCTGAATCTGTCATTTTAAACTAACTTTCCACACCCAAACATGTTGAAAAGAAAATCATTTTCTTTCTTTCATTGTTCCCACGTATTTAGTCAAGTATTATCACAGAAAAATGATTACAGGAGATATTTTACAGAAATTATTTATTGCAATTATTTATTGCATACATTGCAATGTAGGCATGCTCTGGATTTTCTACAGGCATGTCCATGCACACTCCAGACATCAAGTTTGGTGCCCTTGTGCCTGGCTGCACCACTGCAAGCCTAGTTCATCACACTCCTGTTATTTATATACCTGCATTTATTTTTGTGCATTTATCTATGTAAAAATAAAAAAAAATCCATAGTTTTTTCATCCTATAAACTTACTAGTGAAGCAAATTTCAGCACTCCATCTTTCCAAAAGAAGACAACATCAGTAGCCAGTGAACTTGTCGATCAGGTGCCTATCTTGCCAAAGAAAGCCTTTGTTCTCAGCTACATACTTATTGTCTGTGCTTTAGGTCAGAATTGTAAATATTGATCTTTAGTTTACACTTTAACTGTCAGGAATTTAAGCTTTTCTATTTGGTAAATTGTTGCTGACTCCACCATTAATTTACCAAAGAGTTAGCAGCATCAGTGATTTGCAAACTGCTACTGCACGTGTTCACTGCATATCAGCAGTGCCCTCTGTTGCCCACTCTGCTCTGCTCTGCTCTTCTGGGCCTTAGAGTCCTGATGCAGCCCAGGGCTCAGTCACGACACCACAGTAACACTCACAAGGCATGGCTAGAGCTGTAGCATGTCGTTCTGTCCATCTGGGACCAGATCTACCAGTTAGGAAGGCTGCTCTGACATACTAGGGACATTGCAAAATACACATCAAACTTTTGAAAATAAAAGGTGTCAGGTATTCTTTTTCTTCTTTCTTGTTAAACTATGCAATATTGTTCATTATTCTTTTGCTTTTGGTTCTGACTTGCACTTTTCTGCATCCAGCTGTGTCACTTGCTTCTCTACAGATAGCTAAGGAATCAAAGACACAACCCTACTAGGACAACTGAGGGCCCTCCTCTTATGTTGGACGTTGCCCTGTCCCACCTGGAGGGAAAGGTTCCATGGGTCACACATACCTGTGTCTACATGAAAAAAATGGGGAAGAGGTTATGGTGTACGTGAGTTCCCTTTCTTGTTCTTCCACATCTATGAAGTGGAGATGTTTCTTAGTTAGATGAGCAATCTCAGTCTCCTTAACAACCAGGTGACGTGTCACTCCTGAGGCTTCTCGGGGTGGCTGATCATCCACAGGGATAATGTGCACAATCAGCACCTAAAACCAGGTAAAGAATTAAGATCAGAATCAATTCCTCTCCAGAAGAAGGTACCCAAGCAATTGCTTACAAGCTGGTACACAAATAAAATTGATCACTTGAATATGATGCATAGAATATAGATGTCATACTAATGCCATGTCATAAACACAGCAGTAGCCAAAACACACAACTGGTTAGACACTGAACTCCAGTACCTTAGTGTCTCATTAAACTGAAAGCAAAGTTCAATTCAGTAAGCTGAATTGGCTGGGTGAAATGAATAGCCTCACCTCTAATGGATTCTGGAGGGCTGACTTGTCCGTTTGTATCATCTCAGAACCTGATATGTATTTGACATTTCATTTATACTGTGAGAAAAAAGTTCTTGAGAACAGACAAGGACAAAGAAAACAGAGAAAAGTGAAAAAAAGATCTAAAGAAAAGACGGGCAACAGAAGAGAATATAAGAATAGACATATTTCAACACAAACATGAGCAAAAGAAGAGATCTCAGTTTAATGTTAAGGCCTGCCAGAGGTGTAAAATCATTAGCTGTTTGAAGAAGAAATGAACCCTTCTACGAAAACTAGTTCGGTGTCATACCTGTGGCTCTGAGAGATTGGGAGGGTCATGGCTGTCACATAAGACAAATTCAAGGGAATCTTCAAATATTTCTCCTCCAAAATGATGATAATAAATTATTCCATTAAATAGATCCCTCTGAAGGAAAGTACTGACAGGATACCCTGTTGAATTAAAGAATATACCTTCCATTGAACAGTATATGTTTTCAATTAGTAGTAAAAATTATTCACCAGCTATGCAAAGAACCAGTGAAGCACAACCAGAGAACCCTTCTTCACCTTAACGAAATCATCTCATTGTGTCACAGATTTCCTAAAGATCATAAACTTCCCTATATCCACATCGCTTAACAATTGCTCAAAAATCAAGGAACACAGCAAACAGGCCTTCTGCATCTGTGCAGAAAATGATAGAACTGCAGAAGGCCTACAAATCTCAGAAAATGTGATAGGGATTTCTGAGTTCAGTTAAATGGAAGAAGGTCTTCCTTCTAGCCTTGAAGCCCTTGAACTTGTCAGGGATCCTTGCAAGTAAATTAGCTCCTGACAAGCCCAACTCATCTGCTGCAGAGAGCTCCAGTAGAGAAATAAGCTCAGAATGCAAGAATTATAGGATAAAATATGCTCACAGGCATAGTTGTCCTAGTGGAAACAAGAGATCAACAGGAAGCAATCACATGGATTTACACTGTCACAACAGAAATCCAAATTTAGCCTTGTCATGAGTCTGTTACATTTAATGAGGTTAAAAAAGAAGAGGGGAAAAAAAAGCTAAAAGTGTTGTATTATAAATGTGTTTCATTACCAATCAGGTTTGGTCCTGGTTTCTTCATGATTTCTCCTGCGTGTGGTGGCTTGGTAACATTATATAATATGTAATCGTCACTGGAGTCCATGTCAGAGGCTTGAAGCATAGAGCCTTGGATCAAGATTGTCTGCCCTTCGTGGACTTCAATTACCACATTGCTGATAAGAAACGGAGGACTGTCATCTTTAGGAAGGATATTAATTGGGAATTTATGGCGAATACTGTGGAGGCCATCAAAAATCCTAAATACCACAAAATCCTTTGTAGAGTCACTATCATCGTGATGGTAGCAAACAGCCCCAGCCTGAATGTCAGAGACTGTGAACATGAATCCTTTCCCTCCTGTCAAAGCAATGAGAGAAGATGTGAAAAAAGATGTGCAATTCAGACAACAGGAGAATCCTTCCACCAATATGAATTCTATTATGGGAGAGAGAATAACAACACACTTCTAACGGGAAACTTCAGGCAGCTGCCACTGCAAATGGCTCTGCCACTTGCTGGGCTTCAGCCTCTGCCCTGTCCGGCTGCAATGTCCCAAAGCAGGGCCAGGCTCCCCGGGAGCCCAACCTCCACAACGCTGAAAACATCTCAGAGTTTTCCTGTAAAGTTACGGCGGGGACAATCACACAAAAAAAAACAAACTCTGTGGCAGTAGTTTCCTGAGACATAAATTATTTCTGAATAGTTTCTGTGTTTCAACCACTACCTTAGATATCACCTTCACCTTTTCTTTAAGTACTTACTGTATGTCTCAAGTCTGTGAATTTTATTTAGGAGGAGATTTAAAAACCAAAAAATCCAGCATCTGGAGTGGTGGCTTCTTCCCATCCATTCGCCCAACAGCAGAGTGAGTTTTTATACTGAAACATTTTCTCAGAGAGAGCAGTTCTGTGATGACCCATGACAACACAAAACCAAACCAATAATAATGAAAGTGAAGAAGGTCAATGAATTACAAGTTTGATTTAATTGCCCACTCTTTCTGAAAGGCAAAATATAATCTCATAATTTATATGACATTGCTCCTTCCTAGGGAGTAATAGTTAGATCTTTAAATGACTTCATTTTCTTTTTCTTCACAGTAAAAAAAGAAAATAAAGTTATGAAGAATGTGTATGTATGAATACATAAATGAATGATTTATGCAAGTCATTTTTCAGCAAAAGAGTATTACTAGTTTCCTAACACCTCACTATCAACTTTCTCAGTAAAGCCATACAAACAAACTGCAAAGGTTATGCTCTTGAAAGTGAACCTCCCCAATTTTCTCTTAAAGTATTGCAGCTACTTATTTGAATTTCCATCAGATACCCTATGCATCTACTTTATTAAATTTCAGTAAGCCTTTTAAAGCATGATTTTTATTAAACATTTGTATTTGTATCCTTGTATTAAACATTAACTTTATGCAAAGTATGGATTTGACTTGATATACAAAGAAATTAAAGAGGAGTTCAGGTTCAAAGTTCTAACTCTGGTTAAAGACCAACCTTTCATTCTATGAGAGAGTAACCACAACAATCAAATGTTGTCTATATTTTCCAGGAAATCAGCTTTCCTTATCATCTTCAACATGTAAGAAGCAAGTTAAAGTAACTCCACTTAACCTAAGTCATGTCTCGGAAGGCATTTTATGAAAATATAGCTGATTGCTTAATATTTATCTTGTAGATATAAATTGAATAATAATAAAATAAAATTTCAAATACAAAATATTAAAATGCCATTTTAATTCCCCATCCATTATAACATGGCTGTAGTAGAGAAAGTTAGTCAGTAGAGGGAGCACAAGTTACCTTAACGAGGCTCTCTTCAAGTACTCCAATATTGCAACATGACATAAGTCCTTCCGCAGGTGGCTTTGGTCAAACCAAACCCAAGACTACTTTTGCCTGAAATTCTATATAAGCGTCTTGTAAACAGCCACCACATATTACTTCGGTTCTTCTTCTGTTTAACTGTGTGCTTTTTGATTGCACGTATGGAAGGGAGTAAGACGAAGAAAAAGCTTTTGCAGAGAGGATATGGGAGGTTAAACAAAAATCAAGCTGCAGGTTCTCCCCCTTAATCTACTTGATTTATTCAATGAGATGACTCTTTCCATACAGTTTCTATTTTGCTGTTCACATTGCAGATGAAATTTGCAGAAGAAACACTCTCATGCATTTTCACATTTTCTTTGAGCACCACAAGACTATATAAAGCTACAAGGATGCTTTGCTTTTTTCAGAAGTCCCTCATTCCTAGTGTTGACCAGCAGAGAACCACGTGCTGAGAGACAAGGCAGTGGTGCCTGCTGCCCACAGTTACCAGCTGCATTAGCTCCCTTGGGCTGAATTCTCCCTCAGTGCAGCAAATAAGAAACAATTTCAATTTCAAGTGAAGATACAAGTGCTTCTCTACTGTGTAGTGTGTCTAGTGTGTAGGCAACACGACAGACCTACAAGTATTTAAAGATGTAGATAGCATAAATAAACTGCAAAAATATCTTAAGTTACACAACTAAATTCTTCATGAGGTTATGAGCTTATGAAAATATTTACTATAGATGTAGTTATTTCTTCATTCTTCATGGATTCTTCATCCTATGTAAATCTGGCTCTTATGCTGGCTGTCCTCAGCAAGGAGCAATATACAACAGACTCTGTCAATGCCTTATTGCATGTTGTGCTATAGCTGGTTCTCACTAGAAAATGTGTTTCCAGTCCTTCAAGGTGAAACAGTGATTTACCTCTCACCGTGAGCCGCCCATGCTGCAAGCCATCTACTGTGACCAGGTGAACATTTTGGATGTCATCATTATCTACAATTTGGAAGTGTTCCCATGTGATCGGTCGCGACTGCCCTTCCAAAAGGTCGAGGCCTGCAAAGAGCAAAGTGTAGTTTCACCGCAGTGTCTGTGACATTCAAGGACATTGGTGAACTCTTTTCATGTGTTTCTGCAGTTGGGAAAGGAATTCCATCTACATGCATGCAGGTGGCAGACATTTCAAGAACAGCAAAGCTTGATATGAGCTTTCTTCCTGGTGTCTTTGCTTTAGTCAGATGCTTCTTTAAGCATCTTTTTACAGAGGAAGAATATAATTTGTTTCTCAATTTTCTGACACAGCAGCCACACACCTTTCTGGACATTCACACAAACCAAAGTGTTACACGTGATCTCACAGTGTGTGAAACTGGTCTACCCAACTTCCTTAGTGAATTTGTATCTGAAAAACACAGCCGTGCACATGGTGGAGTACAGGATCCCTTCTCTTTGAATGACTCAGGCAGTAGTTTCAGGTGGAATTTCTCTGGAGAAGATGAGTTTTTTTCTCAGCTCCTCCCTTCTCCACTGGAAAGGGGAGGGCACTTCCTCTGTGTCATCTTCAGTTTTTTGACTTCATTCCTTTCCTCTTTAATGTGATTTCCAGTATACCTTTGGCTTTTGACTAGTAATAACTCTGTCTTTCCAGCTACCCTGCTACAGCTATGTCACCAAATCTTTCTCTTTACTTTTTATATTTTTCTGTGTTTAAGTTCATTCTTCAAGAAAATCGTGTATGCAAAAACTGCTTTTCTGTAACTCTCTCTTTCTTTATTTTTCATTCCAGTTAAAACTTAACATTTCTTCCCATTGCTACAGTACCATTAGGGTACTGAGGAATAAAGGGAAAAGTTAAATCTACAATCCTTCCATTAATGCTGCTCAAACTCTATTGTAGTTCTGAATTTTAGAGTTTTTTTGTCATATGTCAGTACTGACAGTGTTATATAAATTCTGTAGTAGAGAAAAAAAAAAGAGAGAAAGAAGAAATCTCACCTGTATTCCATGAAACCCGAGGAGCATTTGTATCTGCTGTTCTGATAGAAAGATGTACAGTGATTGGTAGACTCCTTTCGAAGTAGAAGTCGTGAACCTCAAACTCCACCTGTTATAAAAACAGAAATACTCTTTACAAAACTATTTACTGTGAAAAAGAAACAAAAAGTTTAAGGCTGAAAAGAAGTTGTACCTTCAAAACGGATATAATCTGCTCTTATCTGAAAGATAAATCTTTGGAGATTTTAAGGTCTCCCCATAAGACATTAACAATTGTAACTCTATTTAGCTAATTAAAATTGCCCTTGAGGTTCTGTACTAAATTAAATATCTGTCTTCTCTTTCATTCAGTGAGCTATAGGAAAGTTAGCTTGCAAGGAGTATGAATTAACCGAAAAGATGAGAAAGATGAGTATTTTTGTGGTTCTTGGGGAGCAATTAGGGCAGCAATTAGTATAGGGCTTTATACTTTATTACTCAGGTAATACTGAGGAGGGATGGGCATTTCCTATTTTCTTTGCATATGTAAGACCAAAACGAAAACTACAAGAGAAAAGTTAGAAAGAAAAATGGCACAGAAAAAAAAATAAATAAAATTTCAAGCTCTTGAATTTTCCAGAAATTCCTGAATCTACATTCAAGCAATACCAAATGCGGAGCAGAGGAAAGAAACCTAAAAAAATAGAAAGTCTGATAGGACAGTTTGATAGTAAGGCAACAGCAGGAAAGGGGGTTCCTCTGACAGGAGGTTTAAAAAGACAAAACCCCGTCAGCATCCAATGCCAAAATGTTTTTCTGTGTGAACCAATTGCTCTGTTTCCCAGCTACCCTTTCACAAGAAAATCAACTCTATTTTCTCTCTGTTCAGACAATCTCATTACTTTAGTAGCAGCTATTTTGTTTTTGATTCTCTGTATTGTTCCACTATCTCATCAGTTAATTCCAACATATTTATAGTTTAACACATTTATCTTCCTCGCATTTCTCCTTTGTATGGCTGTTGCTTATTCCTCAAAGCACTTGCACACTATCCAACTTCATAAAATATCTAATAGTACCAGTAAGTAGGGGAAAAAAAGGAAAATAAAAAGTACCCAAAATAGGAGACATTCACTTTCAGCACGGAATGGCAGATCTGAAGGGAGAAGCATTACTAGCAGCAAACACAGAAAAGGTAGGAGTGGTCCTCAGTTCCTTTACATAAAACCTTAAAGTATCCTTATAACATTAGTCTAAAAGACTGGCACTGTTTATTTACTTACTACTTACTAAAGACTTAATATGTACTGGCCTGCTCTTGCAATTTGCCTCATATTTTTTCCTTAGTGTCTTACTGCTTTTAGCAGAAGCTGCTAGGCTTCCCTTAACAACTCCTCACCATCATCACCTCAGTAGGTTGCAAAGACAATTGTCAATCCTGGCATTTAGGTGGTGCATCTTCCACCACCTTAAACATGTGTCCAGTCAGCAAGGCAAGAGTGATCAGTGGAGTCATGTAAGGAAAAAGGCTAAGAGGATTGGTCCTTTGGAAGGCCTTTGTGTAGGACGTCATACTACAGGCAGCATTGCGTGTATGTGGGGACGTTTAAAAAAAAAAAAAAAAGGAAGAAACAAAGAAGCCCTGTTCAATATTCTCAAACAGATGAGAGAGAAAAGATAAATTTTAATCGCAAGGAAACTACTTAAGTATTGAACAACAACAACAACAACAAAATCTGATTTGTGCTAGACGGGTAATGTGTTGACTTGAAAGACAAAGTGGTATCTTCTACCCCAGTTCCTGCATTGTATAGAACTAGAAAAACATAATTTTACAGAAAAATGCTTATTACAAATAAACACATTTATCAACATCTTACTGAATCTTATGAAGGCAGAGAAGACACTGTTACCTCATAGTTCCTCCTCTCTGTGTGGCTGTTGTTTGGAGGCTGATAAGCAATGAGCAGGTCGCTGAGGTCTTTCCATGTGAAGGAGCCAATCGGTTTTGTGTGGTCCGATAGATGAGTGATGAAGCCGCTTGGAGGTGGCTTGGTAATGTTGAAGACAAGCAAAGGCTTTGGTGTTTCGCTGTCTTCAGCATCAACAGTTGTGGTTGTTACGGGAGTTAAAATAAACTGGTCTACCTCCAGGCTGAACTTTGCTGTCAGGACAGCCCTGGGGATTTGGTTTGGAATAGCACCTTTAATTTGAACAGCGAGCCATGCATACTCAGTCTACAGCAAGGAAAAAAGGAGGAAAACAAAAGGACAAGGTGAAGCAAAAAATTCCGTTTCTGTTAGCTTCACCTAACTAATTAAGGTACTTGTTAAAGATATAAATTATTTTGAAAAGAAAAAAATGAAACCTCTTAATGAGAAAATGACTGAAGTAATTATTTGAAAAGGAATCATTTGACAAGAAAAGGTCTTCTGAGCTCACTTGTTTTATTTATGTCCTCAATTTTAGGCTGAAATAACTTGCATGATTTTGATGTGAGTTTCACATAAAAATTTATCTGCCAGAAATATTCGTATTGGTCATTAATTATTATTAACTGAAAATGTTTACTGAACTCTTACCTTATTCATTTGCATATATGTTGAAGTCTGTGCAGCACATTTTATATAAAAATGAATTTATGGATTTGCTCCACAATTAAGTTTGCTTTCAGGCTAAACCACTTATGACTGCCAGTAAACAACCCAAAGTTGTTTTGCTGTAATCATTGTGGTCTAAGAATAGCAGCAGGACAAAATCCGGTGATGGAGATAATGTTTAATTCATCCAGCTTGGAAAATTGTGAAAAATAAGCAAACTTTTACACTAGTTCCCTTCAGATGTGAAAAAGAGAAGCAGATTTCACATTTTGGAAGATCAGGAAAGCAATCAGATATGGAAATGCTGTGCAAAAGTCTACCTTGTGCAAAGTTTTGCTTCTAATGTCTGTGAGATCAAGTCTGAGAGGAATATAGTCTATGTCAGGTGAGGGAGGGTCGAGATGCTGGTATCGGATCCCCATCCTCAGAAACTCTTCACAGCTCATTTTTATGTTGTGAATCACTCCTAGTCCTGACATGCAATTCCCCCTTCTGCACGTCTGGCCCAGGCTGCGCTCTGTGAACCAACAGAAACAGTAGTAAAACATGTGTCTGAGCAGAACCCCACACAGGAAGCCGATTCCTGCAGCAAAATTAAACCTGGTGAAAAGCCAGAGTGGTAACACATAAGTCTCCTTCCTCCCCGACTCCTCCTGCAGGACTTTGCTTTTAATTGAGCTCTTTGAACTCCAACCTGCCTCGATCCCTGGGGAGGTGCTGAAGGGAAGACCTCCCTCCAACACCTCCCTGTGGTGCCTCTGCTTCCTTTTCACAAAGCCATTGGAGTGGTCCTGCTGCCCCAGAGCTAAAGATTCTTCCCATTTTGGGAGTACTGACCACTTAAGGTCTGCAGAGGGCCCCACACAAACTCCATGGCCTGTTCAGTTTCCCAGATAGCTCAAGCTGCCCACAAGACTTCACACTGCCACCAGCAACTCTGGCGGCTCATAAGCAGCATGTGTGAATCTCAGGCTGCCTCCTCTCCCTCCACGTGCTAGTGCGAACACGGAGGCACATCGTACTGGAGCTGGGGAGGAAGCCCTGCGGCTGGTCCCCGCGAGGCCGCTCTCGCTGCCCTTCCGCAGTGATCAGCTGGCCGTGAGCAGGAAGGTGCATCTCCACAGAGGGAACGGTGATGGTGCAGCCCAGGTTTATCTTCCTGTCATAGTCAAAAGCGAGGACGTTCTTGTCGATCACCGTGGACAGACCATGATACTTAGGGACCTCCAGGGCCCGGATGCGCATTTTGATGATGTTGCAGTCTGGTTCAAGTAACTGCACGTGGAGGGTGAATGTTTCTGCAAATGTCTCATTTTCTGTAAATCTGCAGGTGATAGAAGAAAACAGGCTATGCTTCATTTGCTCACTCCCTGTGAGCACTGTCATCACTTTCCAACCTGAATTATTTAGACATTTTTCCCACAAGTGCCCTCAGACTGCAGATGTCCCGACCAAGACGTCCAGAGCACTGCTGCTCACTTCCTTGTACCGTGTAAAGAAGGGGTCTGTGTAAAGGAAGAGGCTCTTATATCACTGCATATCACCCCCAAGTTTGTATCTCCTCTCACAGTGCAGCAACAAACTCACTCTGCTGTGTAAGTACTGCTGTTACTTTCAGTTAAAAAAAAAAAAAAAAAGGAAAATCATTGGCTTACTGTAATGAGCAATAAATTATATGTACTAATACAAAAAAAAAAACAACAGTATCAGAGCCTATCTGAAATACATTGTTAAAAACACTTCTAAAAACAGACCATCGGCTATTGATTAACAATGCTGCTACTGCATCTAGTTACTACAGATTCTAACAGGACATGGTTTTACCATGGAAGAGGACCTGCTTGGTTTTCCCGAGGACAGCTGTGCCACTAGTCACAACAAAATCCGATGCTTTGGTGCGGCTTACCTGTACAGCCTGAGCAGAACCCTGTCTTCATCCAAAAGCGGGCAGCCATTATGGGTATATTTGACTTCATTAGGAAGGAAGTGGCAGTCAAACACCTATGAAGGAGAAAGGAAGGAGAAGTAAAACATCGGCAAGAGCGTTAACTTCACAGCTTCTGCCCCAGCTCTCCAAATGTCAGAAATGAGTTGGACTGACGGAACTGTTAATTTGTTGTTTATTCCTACACCTATGTACGGAGCTGTTTTTTGCAGTATACCTCTGCATCTTCTATGTTTTAACCTTATTCATGGCTGTAACTTGATTGTACAATAAATTCTGTTCTAAGGCTATTGCTCTTGGACAAGAAATGTACAATCCGCTGAAACTACTCCATTGGAAACTTTACTAGCTCAAATTTATTAGATGTTTTTGAAAGGTTAAGTTACAGCAGCAGCTCTTTACCAGATCAGATGTCGTTTCTCTCTCTGCCATTACAACTTTCAGCCACCATGTTAGCGTAATCCCAGGGCATAAAAGCAAGCAGAAATCCTATACCCTGTCCTCTGGCTAATTCAGAAGAAATTAATTCTTACACCACACCTGATACAGATCAAATTCACAGAGCCAGCTGGTTTGATAGCTGCTGCATTCTATATTAACCGTGGCCACTGTTGAAGCCAAATGCTTTTCTGAAGCTGTTTAATGCAGTGTCTTTGAAAAGCCCATCCCAAAATGAAAAATTTTGCTTTGGATAGTTTTGACATCCTCATTTTTTGAGTATGACTTTCACGTCCTCACATCTTTTTCCAACTTGCAAGTTTTTGGCAAGTTATAGTTTCCGTGCAGTTGTTAAATATTTTTATAGAATTTAGCAACTGAAAGCTCCTAACATTCGTAAGACCAAGTATGTGTTAACCCCATCATAACAGGATCTCTTTGCAGCCCCTACACAGATCAAGCACACTCATGTTTCTTATCTACAAGGAGACAAAGTATATTCATCACGTTTCCTGGATGTTTGGACAGTGTTCATATAGGATTAGTGCTTCTATGCACTAAAATCACTTCAGCATTCACTAGTAGATCAGGTAAGGACTTAACGAATAAGTATTAATATATGCACATAATATATGCACATGGCTGACTGACAGATCACATCTGTTTGCAGAAAGTATATATCATTCCTGAAATGCAGTCATTTCTTCAAATACAATGAAGGAATCATGAGAATGAAGTAAGTGACTTGCCTGAATAATCTATGTGTCTCCAACCACTTTAGGTGACAGTAAAATGGAAGGAGTGTTTTAGTGAGATTCTGAAATGTTAACTAGAAATATGCTGTACACAGAAATTCCTTAGATGCTCCCAATTTCCATGTAAAAATAAAATAATACTTTATTTCTTAAACTGATTACTAACAACTACCTGAAGTGTATCATAATTGTTTCATAGATTAACAGTACAAGATATAAGAACTACTAGCCTTTCTAGCAGAGGAAACAGAGAATTAGGTCTTGCATTTTTATACGATAAAAATAATTATAGCTCATCATCTTACATCATTACTGACAATGTGATTTCCACTCAGGTTATTCTCAGAGACTCAAGCTGTGCAGTAATTGTTCTATGTTTCCGGTGATCTTAAAATGTATTGCCTGTTTCTAACTTTCCTAAAGAACTGCATCGTACAAGGTCAAATATTTTCAATAAATAATAGGTTAGTTCATTAGCAAGGACATGTACCTAGGTTTTTGGATCTATTCCAATAGGCTAGAATAATTTTGGAATACTTCACACAAAAGTTGTTTGTTGTTACAAAAAATGTGGTTAATTTTTGCTCGTGATGACTGTTCAGAAATGCAAGACAAGAACAGCTTGTGAAAAACAAAATTGCTTCTCAGATAAACAAGGAACCATTTGATTACGTTGTGGTTGTTCTGTTGAGTAGAGCTTAAAATCAGGTAGCTCATGTGTTTAGACAAAAAGTTGCATGCTGTATAGGAAAAAAAAAACCCTCATATTATACCTGCCTGTACTTTAGTATTATATACTAAAGATTAGATTTTTTGCTACAGTACATCAGTGTTTAACCCTCAAAGTCAGTAATGTTTCTGAGGACATGTAGGCCTGGTGAGCATGATACATCTCTGTTCTTCCCAGAGGAGGCTGCCTACAACAGAAGTGCTTTATCTTATCAAGAAAAATGCTTTAATTTTTACCAGAGATCATTAATTCCATCTCTCAGCTGATAACAAGAGGATAGAAAATGCAGAACCTTCCCACAAAGGCCGGTTACCATTGACTGACGGTCATTTTGTATGTATATAACACACAATCTGCTTTGCAAAAGAAGCAGCTGTTTTACGTTTCCTAATATGTTTTCCTGCCTTGAACAGGCAACTGTAATTGTCTATAAATTTGCTAGGTAAAACAAAGGAGAGCTAAATCTTTTCCTTAATTAATGTCAGGCTTTGTTTTTTTCCACTTCAACTGCTTTTCAATTGTCACACATTCCTAGCACATTACTCACTTTTATGACAAGAAAACGGATCCAACCAGGGACATTTTCTGTTTCAGAATGCCCTGGTAGGAAGCATGAGCAGTGCTGGGAGGGCCAAATCTGACACCCTTCCTCGGCGTGGCTAATGTCCAGTGCCTGGCTCCAGGATTATGCGATTTAACGCAGAAGCTCCCAGTTTACAAGCACCTTCTTGTTCTCTTCCATCTGGAGAACGTGACTTGAGATAACCAGACCAGGGCCATGCAGGGGGCAAATACTATCATCAGACCTATCCCTGGGGAAAAGCTCCTCTAATCAGCCATGGAGGTGCTCCTGGGGGACCTTGTTTCTGGAAGAGGGAACAGGTTTCCCAGCTAATCTCTTCCTGCTCTTCCCGAGCCAGAAGGTATTGCTCCCCTCTACAGTGCTGGTTCAGCTGGAGTAAAAACCACAATAGTCGAGCCAGATGTGTGGAAAAAGATATAGATATCAAAACTTCACCATCCACCTTCTCAAAAACCATTAGAAATCTCAGAGATGATGTTTAAAAAGCATACCTATACATAAACTTATAAAAAAAATATGCTGTGTGTTAATGCTAACAAGGCATTTTGAAATACTGACAAGAATTTTTTGTTCATCGTTCATTTTAGAATGGTTAACCTATCTGTGACATTACATCTTCAATAACTTCCAACTCCTTACTGCTATGACTTTGGTGAAGAGATTTGCTAGGCAAATGAATAGCAGAAAGGTGATTTGTGAAATACACTTCATTGTTCCTACAGGCTTGAAATTTTAAAAGAAAACAAAGAAAATCTTTCATATATTTGCCATCTGTTAGTAATTTGGCTGTTGAGGAACAGAGTGAACAGCGTTGTACACAATGTGCTTATTGTATGCAATGCTTTTTTTTTCTTAATTGCTCCCTAAGTGGTGACTGCGTGACTAAAATGCAAAATGCTGTAGCTGGCTATGTATTACCCCAGGGACAGGGTTTACTGTCTTGGTAGAAGAGCAAGGAGCAAGAGCTGAAAGCTTTGAAAGTCCCATTCCTCAATGAGTGACACCAGACTGGCAGATCCACCCCCCTCCCCGCACCTCTGTGTCTCTGAAGTCACTGAAATCACTGTCGCTGAAATCACCACCCACCCACTCAGATGAATCTGCTTTACAAAAAAAAAATCAATAAAGTGACTTTTTTCCTGGTTTCTGCCATGCTCACATGTGCCCTCAGAGCAGCCCAGCAGATCCCAGATACCTGGGGAGTCAGCTTCCCAACCCTTTGAGTTATTGGCTCATTAATCACAACTTCTACTTTGCAGGCATCTTTCTCTCTGGGGATGGAAAACTTGAGGTCATCTTCTGACAGGAAGACAGACTGGCCTTTCATCACTTTCACCCCAAGATTGACACTGATAAAGGAGGCACTGATAACTCTCAGGATAGCAGCCAGCAGTAGAAGCAACCAGCTGTTTTCAAAGGGCTTCATGTTAAGAGGGGGAAAGAGCTCTTTTCCAGTAGTAAAAATGCTCTTAACAAAAGAGGTCTTCTCTTCCTCCTCCAGCAGATTTTCACCATATAATGAAGGACCAAACCATCAGTTGCAGGTAATAATGTTCCACATATTTTGTACTGAGATGCAGTCTTTGGGCTGATGTTTGGACATCAAATATCCTTGGGCTTTGACAAAATTCATTGATCAAGCCTGACAAAATGATGAATGTGTTCTCAGAGCACTTTTAAGGTTTGCTAATCCTGCAAAAAAGAAAAAAGAAAGAAAGAAAATTTGCATAAGGCATTGACAGAATATACACACAGAAAAATCTTTTACCATTTCTTGTAGTTCAATTCAAGCAGTAAATTAACTTGAATTTTGGATGCTATTAAGTATCCACTCATGCTCAGAAAATGAACTATGTGCAAAATGACACTTCCCTCAACAAATCAGCTCACTCTCAGTATGAGCCATTCCAAGAATTTGGGATCCAACTGCACATACAAACACAAGCTGAACCCTATGGGCTGTGTGGACATCCTGCTGTCCATTCATCCTAGTAGCAGATAAGAAAACAGTATGAAATATGCAACATGCAAGAATATACATTTCTCCAGATTCTATATATTTGAGAGTAGAATAAATGAACAGCCAGCCTTTTGTAAAATGTATTTTTGCTTTGCTATTGCATGTGGGTAAAAGATGACAATCTTTAGTTTAAAAGGCCCTGACAAAGACCCTTTGCACTTGATGCTATAATGATTAGCTAGTCCCAGATGCCAACACAGAAACATACAATGTTGCACTGCAAAGTTGGAATTCTTCTCGCTCAAAGAAGAGGGAAAAAAAAAGCAATTAAGGAAAATTCAGATAATGCCGTGGAAACAAGTAAAAGAATATAATAAGGAAAATCAAATTTACACAAGGTGTCTCATGTTGCATCTACAGTAAATCTAGTTACAATTAATTGTCATATTTCATAAGTTTGTTAAGAAAAGTACAGCTCTTCTGACATTAAACAAGCACCATCAGAGTCCTTGTAACTCGAACATTAGGGAACGATACTACCTCACTTAAATCTGATGAGTTCTTAAGTAATTTCAAGCTAGCAACATTTCAACATTCCTTCAGTTTCTTAAAAAAACTGTAGTGCCTTTACTGCTTATTTATACAGTCTCTAAATTAAACACAGCCTTACCACCAGCAACAAGCTTTCCTGAGAAAAAGATAAAAAAGCAAATCCATGTAAATCTTAATTGCCTGCATTGCTGCCAACAGGTTCACTCATCTCCTGCAGACTGACCTTCTTTGTTGCCTACAGATGTACATATGTATCAGTTCAGTTTGGGATTCCACCAGACAACCAAAATCAGTTAAAAATTTGTTTAGAATTGCCCACTTCCTAAATTAAAATAAGACAGACTTCTCACTTCAGCCCAGATTCAAGATTGAGCACACTGGGACTAACAAGAGTTCCAAATTCAAACTCACTGTGTTATCCAGGCCCCAAATCTTAACTCTGTTTTTCAAGCTTCTTATCTGAAAATTTTTCCATGTAAAATTATGCAGACAAATCAGTCTGAACAAAATCAAAATAAGAGAAAATGTAGAATTTTATTCCCAAAGACAAAAATTAAATTCATGATTGAAATTTTTTTGACATGTATTAAAAAGTTTACTTATATGGTCAGCTTTTACTAAAAATAGTAAATAGTGAATAGGTAGCTCTGGCCAAAGAACATGACAATTATTTTTTTCTGTCTAGTTGGACAGCATAATCGAAATCTCATCAACATGAGCACATCTGAAATAAGCATTTCACTTCCTAAAAATCACATCTACGAAACACAGCAATACCATAAAAGACAATTTAGAAAGTGGAAGAAAAAAAGGGTTAAACATCAGCCTCCAAATAAAAAAGTAGTTTGCTGTAGCTTCATTCTTTTGACTGAGCATCTCTGACTCTGGCAGCTACCACGTAGTGCAAGAATTGCTAGCATTTTTCAGATGTCATTTAATTTTTTAGATTTTCTTAGAATATCATCTGCAAAGCATGGGGATATGTTAAGAGTGACTGCTGTGCCCTCTTCCTCCCTCCTAATGCTAGAGAAGTGCAGCTAGGCCTGAGAGAGATAACATAACTCCCTTGCAAGTGTCTCAAGAAAGTAAGTACTATGCCTAACATTTCCCCTGACTTTGGGCTTCTTAGGATCACAGGCCGGCAGGAAACTCTAGGCACAGAGTGGACTGAGGTGAATTTTAAGTCATCTGACTCTGGCCACCAGTGAAGCCCTGTATGAGTAAAGCATCGATGACCCTACAATGTCAGCCAGTTTCAGAGAAGCTGGTTTCATAAACTAGAGAGAGACTCTGATAGGGAGAGGAAAATTGTGAAGTGAAGATTTTGGCTGGAAAAGCACTGGCTATCGTGGTAGTGAAGCACAGATCCACTGCTGTGCAGCTTATGACATTTCCCCTAACTCAGTGCCCCATAACATCAGTCTGGGGCACTGATTCGCAATGAAAGCATCTTTATCCACAGAGCATTGTCTACGTTAAGAGATCTGACAAAACCCAAGCCTGGCCGATTTTGATTTTGCCCCCTCCTATGTGAATAACTACAACAAAAAGCAAATGAACAAACAAACATAGTTTGTACTTGGGAGACAGCGTAATCACCGTCTTAGAAATGGCACTGTTCAGAAAATACATTGTTATCTTTATACCTTCCATGTGTGCTCACTAAAAGGAAGAGCCAGTTGTGTATCCCAGAACAGACTCTGCAGAGTCTCGTTCATGGCTGCATGTTGGCCACTGTTTGACTTTAGTGTAGCTCAAATTGATCAGAATTCTGGTTCCTGCTCCATTAACTCCAGGAGAGGGTAGAGTTGTAAACCTCAGGCACGGGTAATACTTTCTTTGCTGCCCTTTTTACCCCGTGTCAAATACTAAGAGCAGACAGTCTTCAAAAAGAGACAGAAACATCCTGACCATTTCTCTTAGTGCATGTGTAAGCCCTTCTCTGCCGCAAAATTAGTCCCCTGGTGGCACTTCTCATACGGTTTTGCTTTTGCCTGCAGGCATCACTCTTGTATCATTGCATACACATTTGCTCCATATGTTCCTGCAGTTGGTTCCTCCTTGTCAACTGCAGGGCTATCTCCATACACAGCGAGTGAGGTTCCTGAGAAGTGTTCCCTCACCCTTTCACCTGGTTGTCTAATGATTGCATGATGAAATGACAAGAGATCCTTCCAGTGCATCACAGCTTTAACATGAAAAGACTGGAAGGAGAGCCCTGAGATTAACCTTCCCTCCTCGGCGTAAAAAACACAGCTGAGCCTGACTAATCTCTGCTGCTCCTTGATGTGGCCACCATCCTTCCCAGAATGAACAAATTCTTTATTATGTGATTCCAGATGCCCTGCAATGGTTCAGGTATATACTCTGGGTCTTGGTGGAGTAATAGTGTTTATGAGCAATATACAAGGGGGCAGGAGTTTGTGATGTACCAAGACAGCCTGAGAGAACATGACTGCTTCATCCTGAAGAAGAGAGGGCTGAGGGGCAATCATCTTGCTGTATTCAGCTCCCTAAAAGTAGTGAAGTAGCAGGAGGTGCACATGGAAAGGACAGGAAGCTGCAGAGAAAAGCTACAAGGGAAACTTTGAGCTGGGCAGTGTAACAAATGCCCCAGAGAAACTCTGGAGTCTCTATCCATAGTTAAAAGCCAGCTGATCAGGGCCTGAGCAGTCAATCCATCTTTAAAACTGAACCTAAAAGTCAGCCATGCTTTGAGCAGGGTTTGGGACTAGTTACCTGCAGAGGTTATTCCCACCTTCAGTTGTGCCATGATTATAATTTGGAATTACTGAACTTTCTGATCATAGGATCTAAATGAATGACCTCGCATCACTGTGCAACCATAGAATTGTACCTTGTAGACAGCGTAATAAATCCCATGTGACATCCATGTTGACCTTCTTATGCTGGTGTAAGAAATGAGGTGGCAGAGAAGGACAGCATGCTCCCCCTAATTAGAGACAGCCTTGCGAAGCTGACCCTGAGATTTGGGAGACTGGAATAAAGGAGCCTATTCCTTTTCTTGGCCCTTGGCATCACACTGATGATGTGCCTGAGGCATGGTGTGCTGACACTCAGCCCAGGGGCTCTGATGAGCTCCTCATCTACAGGCAGAGCCCCGTGATGACCGTGAGGAGTGCAGAAGAGAAGGGGTGTCTGAAGGAGGAACGAGTCTACCTCTGAGGAGTTAACGACAGGGCACACCAGGATGGGGACAGATGAGGGGAAGAAGGCTGGGAACTTCAGAGGTCCTTGGTTAAAAATTCCCTCCAAAAGACAAAAGAACATCCGTATTCCCACAGAACTGCTGCTGGACATGTGGGAAGTTGTGCAATGGCTAATTACAAACATGAGCTCTTCTCACAGAATACCACAGACTTTTAAGATGTCCCAAAAAAAAGGAAAGAAAAAATAATGTCCAAAAGAAACTGCAACTCTGCTCTAGATTTATCACCACCACAAAGGCTTTGCCAAAATTTCTAAATTTGCCAAGTATTCACTTGCTTCAGTAATCAGGAGAACTGTGTAAGACCCTGAGAGCATCCAGTTGTATTGTGGAGCACACTATCAGGAGCCAGGCTGGAGTACACATAGAAAACCTTGACTGTCCACCTCTGGAAGCCATATGTCAAGGAGCTGCATATTTTTTTTCAAAAAAAAATTACCATTACAACTACTTTGTGAGTGGAATTCATTTTAAAGAATGTGATGTGAAGCAGTTGGTGGGAATAATCTCAGCATTTTTTAAATTTAGAAGTTACAAAGTACTAATTTCTGAGTTTGATTCTAAAGTGAGTTAATGTCATGTAAAGAAAGACTTATCTTTACAGTTCAGATGATAGACATCTACTACTGCAAGGCCATTAAAATCTGATCAGAAACAGCACAAATAACTCTCTGAGATAATACCTAATACCTGACTGAAAAAAATACAGTCACTAGAGATCCTGAGCTAAGTCTCAGTGAAATCCAGAGTATTTAATGTGATTTGGATTAAACCTTAAGACCTTCTGTGTGTTTGGCAACATCCCTGGTTACGTGGGAGTTTTCACCGAACAACTACATTGAAAATTACCCC